TGTTCATTAGCATGCACCATGTAGGTCCTGTCTACCAGGTTTGTCTACCAAAGGAACTTCTGCTTCTTTCTACAGCAAACTTTGATTAAAACTGGCATTGTAATTGATTTGATGCATTGTAATTATTCTGATAAACAAAGGACTAGGACATGCAGCCCCCTCCTGCCAAGGTCTACCAAGTCACGGAGCAGTCTGCCACTGTGGGAACGCCTGTATGAATTACAATGAATGGTGTTTGTACTTGTGTCCTGGATGTTGATGTGGACTACTGGAAGAGATAGCATTTCATCTGGCTGAGAGCTGTGTTTTTTTTTTTTTTTCATGACTGTGTCTGAAATTTAAGGTAGATGTCTGAAAAAATATATAATCATTATATATGTTTATAATCTATAACAATTTTAATCTGTTTTAGTTTTGACTATACCATTATATATTAAACATTTATATAGGTAAAACTCTACTGCATGAAAATCCTGTACAATGGTTTGTCCAACACTTCAGAAAAACCTTTCTGGAACAAGGGAATTAAACAGACTGGCAATATTTTGCTATCAGTCTAATCTTCCCATGAGCCAGTATAATGTTTTGTATATCATTCCAACAAAAATGTCATTTTAATTCACCAGCTAAATATGATTGCTTAATTAGAATAAGCTTTAAAGAAAGTGAAATATTATGCTACACTTGAAAAAAAAAATTGTAAGTTTGGATCTAAATCAGTTTTACTGAAATTGTGCTAATAAGCAAGCAACATTTATACGCTGATTTTTAAAAAAAATTAAAAAGTGGCATGCTTAATAATATGCAATTCATTTTAGCCATTACAAAAATGGAGAAATTTCACACAATAAACAGAGACTCTTTCAAAATATTCAGTGCAATATGCTGCAATTTCAAGATAACATGACCAATCTCACAGAATCGATTTTCAAGAACACAGAATGTTTGTAGTTCAAAGCAGCCCCTACAGTAAAAACCCTAAATATTTTTCATATTCCATTATTTAGCATTTATGCAGAAATCTTTAAACATATAACCTAATCTAAAGACTGGCTTTAACTCTGCTGATATGAAATTTAGGTTCTTCATAATTTCTTAATATCAAGACCAAGGAAAACTGCAGGTGACATATACTATTTGTACATAAGTTAACAGCATCAAGCACACATTGGGTGCTCAATAATCAGTAACACTTCTACATAACAGTATGAGATTACATTTGAAATAGGGATTTATGACAGATCTATATCTCCAACACAATTATATTTGGTTTGCATTTTAAAAACCTAAAGATACCCTGGAGATATCTCCAAACATTTTTACTTTTTTAAAATTTTTTACTGAAAAAGAGGAAAAAAAACCCCTTTATATAAAATAGTAAAAACTATTATATAATTGGTCATTTTTTTTTTTTTCTCAGAGAACAGATTGCTTGAAAAAAACTACCTTTTGCTATTGCAAGTTCTTGTCTTTTGAGAAATCTCTCACCCTGCGTATTGTGGACGTTTTAACAGAACCTGTGCATTACCATCCACATTGTATCCACAGATTATTTTTCAAGGGTTCAAGAATGTCTTCAACCAAACTATTCATAAATGTAGGCCATGGTACAACTTCTAGGTCTGCCCTGCCAACATCCTCCAGACAGAGGATGTACATCCATATGAAATGTGCTGCTGATCAAGGTATCCAGCACCTTCTGCATGGAAACTGGGAAAGAGCAGAAGGACAAGGGATGATGAACAAAGACGGGTCTCACCCTAAAATGAAGTCAGGACCACGAGGATAGCAGCACCTGGATCTACTGTGGAGGCATAGTCTAAAAAATGCCTATATCTAGAGATTTGTCAGCACATAAAAAAAAAAAAAAAAGGTATGGATCTACACCTACACACATGCATAAAAGCTGATATCTACAGATTTTAGTGAATGACTACTGATCTCATTCAGGATGATGATGATACCATATTCCCCCTTTTTTTCCCATAGTATCCATTAATCATTATTAATTAATAATAATCTACAAGAGGAGTTTTATTGGAATGTGCAGAAGGCCAGAGAAAGGTCTAGAAAACCTTTCTTTTCTAGGTCTTCAAAAAAGGTTCTCCTGAAAAAAGGTCTTCAAACCTGAGCAGTTTCATTGGTGTTTCCTACCATGTATCACATGTACATTGACTTCACTAAAAACGAGGCAGTACAGTCATGGTTTCTCAGCCCAGGAGTTTCTCTCTAGTGAGGCTTTCTGAAAAGAACAGAGCACTGCTGTGTAAGATAGAGTGATGTGACCAAACATTTGGCAAATGGATAAGCTCTGCAGTGACTGAGTTACTGGGAATTACTTCCCAAATTTCCTGTCACCGATCAACACTTATAAACCATATTAGTATTAATCATTAAATATTTTCCTTAAGGAAACTTACTCCTGTGCCAAAAAAAATTACACAGATCACCATTCCTCACCAAAAGATGTGAGAAAAACACTTAAAGATTAACCAAAATATTTCAAATCCTTTAACAGAACTTAGTTGCCACCTCTCTGCATAGAATCAAAGTAGTCTATCTCTTTTCTAACCAATATATAGTCCTGGAATTTGAAGAAAAGGAGAAAATAAGTTTGTTCTTGCAAGTACTGTTCACACTGTAGTGGTTTATGCCTCCTCCAAAATACCCAATTACTTTTCACATTAGTATTTCTTATGTCAACTGTAAATGCCTGAGGATTTTTCCTCTCTACAGATTTGCTATTTTAAAGCAAACCTTTGTTTTAACAACCTGGAAGGAGACATTTTTGTAATGCAAGGTGTTCTGAGCCACAGTCATTTCTTGTGTCTGCTCTGAGAGCTGAAAATATTTTATGCAGACCCTTTGGTGTGCCTTTTCAGAATAGTCACTCAAAGAATTTTGCAGTTTCCCCTCAACAGTTAGTTGCATTTTCCACACCAAAAGGATTCATTAGAGTTTGGTCACTGTTTTCATAATTCCATGGACATGTAGCACTGAATGAATGGCAGCGTAGCAGTTACTATGGCTCAAGGCTTTGAGGTTTTATGAGAGAACATGTTGTTTCTGATGGTGCAATTTGCTCTTGAGTAGATGGATAAACTTGAGAGACTCATAACAGTGTCTCTGCTGATTTTCATGGTAGTGAAACTTATGCTAATGTGAAATTGACAGTTGTGGGTGTTTATTTATCTGGGTTATATCCATCCTAACCTGGGGTTCTTTAGAATGGGATTACCAAGGACATTTACCTTTTGTTCTTTTTTTTGTTGGCTACTCTCTAGAATTCTACTTATTTTGAGCTTTTAGAATCTCACAGTTTTTCCTAGTTTTGATTTTTTTCCCTATGCCTCACTAGACAAAATATCTCTTTATTTACTCTAAATATAACTGTATTTCCATCCCGATCCTCCTAAATTCTTCTTTCTTTGATGTCTAACAGCTTTACTCCAAGTTTATTTCCTTTTCTTTCCTGTGAAGTTTCTACACATTCTTTTCTCTATCCTCTTTTTCTCTGGCTATCCCAATTAATTTTGTACGATCCAGTTTGATTTCATTTGTATTTTTCAGTAAATTTATCTACTATCTAAACCCATCCACTTTTTCTCTGCTCTAGGAATCGACTTCCATTTAGTACGTGTGTCCTGTGTGAGCTTCGTGCCTATCTGGGAGCACTACATATACCACACTCCAGATTGTCTTAAAACCTTGGTAGCCAGTCTGCAAAATTGCTGTTGTTCATCCTTTCAGTAAGGTTGTGATGTGCACAACAAAGGACTTTGCACTAACACATCTCATTTTGCTGTCTCTGGTTCACTCTCAGATACACTAAGCTTCTTTATCAGTGCTTTATGTAATATACTCTGCATCTGATGGTCTACTACAACTGCATCCAATATTTAGTTCACTTTCTCTGTACTCAGGTTATTTATCTTTTACAGAGTAATTCTCCTCAAGGTACTTTTGTTATCTAGATCAGATTAATGAATGAGCAACAAAAAAGTCCATTATTTTGTCATTTCAACAGTGTTAAATGCACAAACTTCTCCACCAAAGCATGTTAAAAGCCCACAGCACAACTCATAGGATTTGGGCGTGGGATATCATAATCTCTTTGAGAAGACACATGCAAGAATTTTTCCTAAATTTTTCTTAAAGGATTTAAATAGGTATTTCAACACCTAGCACAAGAATTTGTATGATTAAAGTTCACTGCTGGGAGGAGAGACAGTATGAGACACTACGTTACTCACATCCCAAGTGAGTGTTCAGTGAGTAAACATTGACCAGGTCTTATCTTGTATCCCATCCATGAATTAATTAGATGATCAAATATTAAACTGTTTATCCAAGTGATTTTTTTCATCGAAGTGCGAGGTCTTGTACATAAAATACACATAGTACTGCATTGGGGTCTAGATTTGGGGTTGATCACATTTGACTTTATGTCTAGATTTCAGCAAGTCATCTAACTTCTAATTGTTGCCAGTGGAGAGAGGAAGCCCCCTTATGACATGAACTGCGAGCCCACACCAATTTTGCTTTGAAAAGTGGAACAAGCCACATATTACAGAGATGTAGGATCAGGGAAATAAGTTATGATTGAGAACATGGCCACCAGCTGTTTCCCACTGATTCTTAAGTGTTGCTTCCCTTAAACTGTTTCTCTCTAACTGCTTTGGTCTAATTCCAAAAAATATTAAAATGTTAACATGTTATTTATTCTGTAAAACTATTTGGCCCCTCCTATATAGAGATACAGCTATAGATATATATATAAAGAAAATGGTGAGCACCTGTCCTGCATAACCCTGTTTGCTTTAACACTTATCTGGGTTTTTATGCAGTTATTTCTCCACTCCCACAGCTGCTTTGCACTCTTCTCTACCACTGCCACAGTAACATTCATGTGCATGGCCCTTTGCACAGCAGCTGTCAAAGAAAGCTGAGCACACAATCACTTCTCTCTGTTTGCTCCTGTTGTTGTCGTGATTTATTAGGTACAAAGGCAGGAGACTGGCCCCCCCGAACAAGTCGGAAATAGAGTGTTTCACCCCAAAAGGGAGTATGGGGAATGGTGGGCGAGCTACAATGACCAGGTAAGCAAAGAGCAAGTGGCCTTAGGTCAGTGTGATATGTCTGTGAACAGAAGGAGCAGCCCTGGATAATTCCAGGCTAGATCCTCTGTCTGTAATTCCTGTGTATCCCATAAAGTATGTTCAGAAAAGAAAAAAAAAAAAAAAAAAAAAAAAAAAAAAAAAAAAAAAAAAAAAAAAAAAAAAAAGAAAAAAAAATCATGTTGCCACTGCTGATTTTTGTGTTCCATCTGACTATCAAAAAAACCCTGCACCGTGTTCATTCCAGTGATCTGAACCACATGTCCTATGTGATGTTGTTGTAATATGGTGCTTTGGAGAGAGAAATCTTACACCTGACTCATTAAGCCAGTTGGGCAGATGAAAAGAAGCAGCATTCAAACCTGGAGTAAGGGTAGGTCCGCTACATATTAGGGGTTACATTAAGTCTAACCAAAAGAACTTTTTTAAAAGGGCAGAGAAAATTTGATTGATAAAAACATATTCAATATGAAAATGTTGGTTCTCAATCAAAATATCTTATGGAAAAGTACTGCATTTTACAGTTATTTTAAAGAAGGGTTTCAAAGTAATTTAAAATACAGTTTAAAGCATGTTTTTCATAACTTTCTCAATTTAATTAATATACTTATTTTTGCTTTGTAATCATAATATTTTGCATGACATTAAGCAATGCTACAATTCAATGAATATCAAAGACTAGAGTTTTTTCAATGTTGCTAGGATTAACTGCTTTAGTATAGCCATTTTGATGTTTTTCCTATTGAAATATTTCAAACTACTTAATTCTGTGAAATACTTGGAGATTTCAGCAATTCTTTTCATTTTGAGTCCAGCCAGATTTCCAAAAGTTGAACACTCCCATAGGACAGAATTTTCATTTCTCCTTACATGTCCTTTCATAAATGAATAAGCACATACATGCCAAAGATGGCTATACATCTTTAATGAAACAATGCTCTTAAGAAGCATTGTGCCATTGTGTTATGTTCTACTAAGTATGAGAACCATTTTACCATCTATTAAAAGATCTAGTCATTCCTACTCAAGCCCTGTAGGACATTTATAAATGTAACCATAGAGCACAGGGTGACCAAATTATACACTCACTTTTCCCAAGTGCTACATCCCTCAGGAACTTTTTTCATTGCAGGAGAGTGTTCAGGGAGATACTTGCAAAGTGTTATGTTTCCCTTGGGTAGAGCATTCACACACATACATAGGGCTATCAACACTCACACCACATAGCACACACCTGAGAGCTCCTGCAGTTAAAATACCATCAGAAACATTGATTGCTAAGTGTTGTACACAAAGTATATTTTTTGTCAAATGGAGTGGTTTCTTGTCTATGTGTCATCTGGAATTTTCCTCCAGAAATATTTATTCCTTATTTAAAAGCTATCTGAGATCAATATATAATGGAACTTAGAAGAGTGGAAAAGTACATGTAATTGTCAGACAACTGTATTTTGTTGTACAGTATTCAACTCTGTTTTACCTGGCCATATATACACATCTGAAAAAATTCTTTTTTATATCTTCACAGTGAAGAATCTGTTTGCATTCCAGACTGTAATCGATCTGAGTCAAGTAGAGAGGAGAAAAAGGTTCCTGTTAAAGAGGATGCCCTAACAGTCAAAAAGACTGAACACTATGTCAGTCTAATAGTTCCAAAGCAAGACTGTCAGCTGCAAGACCTACTCAAACAGTTAAGAACACCTGCTGCTTAACAGAGAGTGCAATTGCATTTGATGGCTGTGTTTTGTTTTCTCCAGCCACAATGTCCTGGCCAATGGTCCTTGTCCAATTTTGTGAGCTCAACAGAGTTGTTATTGAATAGCCTGGGAATCTCCCAGAGGACAGAAAGTAGGTACATTCTCTCATCCCAGTAAGTATCAGACCAGTGCTAGAAGTCACTGAGGTGAAGAGCAGATGGAAAAAGACATACAGGGGCCTGACCATTTGTGAATGATGAAAAAACTCATCCTCTCGTGGGACAAAGAGGTCCCATGATACTGACCAAATCCCATTTACAGTCTTTCAGTCTAAATAATGCCATGCAATTCATTCTGGGCACTGTTGTTCAGCTTATGTCCTCAACTCCTTTGCAATGCCATATTTGTGTTCCAACACTAGTATGGACATTTTCCACATATGGGCCTAACTATGCCTTTATATTAGTATTACAAGTGTATTTTTCAAGATGAAAAATTACATAAAAATAGAAGTAGTGGGTATATTATGTGATACCTTGTAAGGCTATATTCAATTAGGGAAGTTACAACACCCTGCATCACCTGTGAGTATTAATCACACATATATGATAAAATCAGCTATGGAATGAGATGTCTTATGAAGCTTTCATAAAGCAGGCATCACAGCATCAGTTGTTTTGCATTTCTTGCATAATATATGCATTTTTTTATTTGATTGAATGCAATGAATAAGAAACTGCTTAATAACTCACAGAAGTAATTTTTCTGCTGATAAGTCCAATGCAGAAAACTACTTCTGTAATTATTTATTTGGCATGCAAAACATGTAAAATTCCTCCAATTGCATGCTCTTCACAGAAGATAGAAGTCAAATCAGCTCTTGACTTTGGAGATACAACTGGGAGACTTAACTTTTTTTTTTTCATTGTTTTCATTGTTTGTTGGTTGTTTTTTTGGTTGTGTGTGTGTGTTTTGGGGTTTTTTTGTGTTTTTTGTTGTTTTTTTTTTTTTTTTTTTTTTTTTTTTTTTTTTTTTTTTTGTGCACTGCTTTTACACTTGATTTCAGTGGCTGGTAAGGTGATGGTTTCTATTTTTCCCAAGTCCCATTTCATACCCTTAGCAATGAAAACAATGAAAAATCATGTTGACCAAGTAATGCTAAAAACACCTTAAAGCATGTTCTGCTTTAAGCAGAACTCACGAAGCAGTGTTCAGAGTTTAAGAGGTGTCATTGTCCTCTCTCCATACTGTGAATAGAATGTTCCAGCGTAGAAGAGATGTGCTCAGAGACGCTTCAAAGGGCATTTTTCAGAAAAAAATCATAACACAGCTGTAGTTACCTTAATTAACAATAGGAATGAGATCAAGATACAAGAGGAAAGAAGATACATCTCATACTAGGATAATTTTTGCATTTTGGGTAATGATATACCAGAAACATCATTCAGAAACCAGACCCTCCATTTCCCAGTCTAACCAGGTGTGCTGCTGAAGCAGCTATCAGCATCATCATCACTGGTGGCTGCACTGGGAGGTCACTGGCAAAGGTTTTGTCCATCAACTATCTCTCACTTTGTAGAGATTCATACTTACATATTAAAGTCACTCATATAAATGTCAGATGGACTCTTCATGATCAAAGGAGGTATCAACAGATTAGGATTTGTAGAGTAATAAAAACAATTGCTCTTGCTGTTTGAAACAGAAAACTACTCTGAAAAATAATTGAAAATATTTTTTTGTTTTATTTCTAGAACTCAGGACATGGCAAAATTATTTTTGCCCCATATCATTCTTCTTTTCTGTTTTGTTGTCATTTATTTCCATAGAAAAAGCAGTGTGAGATTAATTTAAACTAAATAACTTGAGTAATATATCACTATCTGGTTATTTGTGTGTGGCAGAATTGTCTTTTAGCTAGGGAAACAATTATATAGGCATGTAGAGGTTTTCTTAAAAGCTTTTTAAAATTAGAGGAATGGCAACAAAATAATACATTACAGTGGTAGAATTGACTTAATTCATCATGGGCACACACATACACACACCATCCCTTATGGAGAATAAAGTTTTAATTAAGTCTACAGATAGCACACAAATCCTTTTCGGGCAGAGTAATTATATAATTGAATCCTTAATAAGTTTTCAGCAGAGGAATCTAAAAGGAGAATAGGTTCTTCCTATTTACTTTGAATAACAAGGGTCCTCTCTAGCAGAAAATTACATGGGCTGAGTCAAGTACAGAAGTTTATCCTGCTTATCACTACCAGCTTCTTCTGGGGATAACATGGGAAGACTTCTCCCTTAAAGATGTGAGAAGTCTTCACAGCATTGGAGCTATACCTTAATTTTAACACTTCAGCCATTGAAACATCTGGGCACGAATTTGCTGCCAATTTTAGCTCCATAAAAATTAGATCAGTGTTCTAAAACACAAGCTTCCATTCATGAACTTATAAAATTAAGAATTTGAAATCTTTCCTTATTGTAGTCACATGAGGACAGGTTGCAAACATATCATACATGTCTTCATCAAGTTATTGTCTAGTGTGTGTTTGCAGTTGTACCATTTCAAATTTGGAATTAGATACTCATATTAGTATCTTACACGGAACAAAAGTTTCCTTACATTTTTATAGTTCCTCTTATATTTTGGTTTCCACTGCTGAATAATAATATGCAGCTATGCACTCTGGGGTTTCTTAAAAAATAATGAATTCCATAATTTTAAACTGATTTTCCTAGTTCAGTCAAAGATATTAAGAGAACAAGTGATTTATTTTCAAATTGCATATGCTTCCAGTAACTGTCCCCAGTACCAGTCCCTAGGCACTCAGCACCAGAATTAATTTTAGCAGATCTGGGAATATTAATGAGAATGGCACCCTTGTTAAAATATGAGAGCTTTCAGCTGCTGTGTCTGTAAATTCCTCTTCCTATTTTTCATTTCTTCTACATTTTGAAGTACCTTACAAAACAATTTTTTTTTATTGGCACCTGGCTAAAGAAACACTTGTGGCAGACCTATGCACCATCTTATAATCATACAATAAAGAAAAAATACTGCAACAAAACTTCTACTACCTCAATAAAAACAAAAGACCAAATGATCCATTCTAGACAGTTAAAAAAAAATGTGTAAAGGGAGGGGAATATTTTTTTCACACCTAAGTGTATAAAAAACAGTTAATAGCTCTCATGAACAGAAAAAAAAATCCTTAAAGACAAAACTCAAGTGTCTCTAAAGAGATTCAATAAGAAAAATAAAAGGAGAAACAAAACTAATTGCTATTCTGTCATCAAGTGGACAACTATAGAAGAAATATTTGAAATATCAGCTACTTCAAAGTTTTCTCATTTATTCTAATTTCATTTCTTGTACATATTATGTAAGTCTAGAAGGCAAGGAAAAAGCTAGTCTATCAAAATCAAAGCAGAAAGCAGCTTTTAGTAAAGACAATGGAGAAACTGTCTGGTATTCAGGAAATCTCTTTTGTGCATAAAGCTGAAGCTAATTAACCTATAGCAAAAGCAATTAAAAACAAAAAAGTGTGCTGCAAAAGGCTTTGTTTTACAAAAGAAAAAAAAAATTGAACATTTTGGTATCACTGGTTGAAGTTTGCAGCATTCTCCTCTGCTCTATTCAGTGCAATGTGCCAGCAGAAGAACTGGCAGAGCAGAAGAGTAGGGGAGAAAAATTTGCATTTAGCCAAACTTTGAAGTGAAATTCCTTTGGAAGTTCAAAAGTGTAATTATTCTGTTTCAACTGATGGAGCCAAAATCTGTTTACAAGAAAAATCTAAAATTTCACTATCCTAAAGTTTATCATTGAAAAGTTAAGGCAGAGCTGGACATAGTAAATGTAAAAATGCCATTCCTAGACATTCTATTCTATGTCAGTGATCTATCTTTATTTCTCTATTTTTAAGTTGTGAGCATTGAGCAGTTTCCAGTTGACTTGACAGACTATTAATCGATATGCAGTTAGAGCAGGATCTTAAAGTATTATCACAGCAATTTATCCAGAACCCAGTTTCATGCCAATATAAGAAAATAAGCGGTGCTCCTTTCACAGAGGCAAAAAAAAAATCGTACCCTTCAGTCCAGTGTTGACTTCCTAGTAAGTAGGAAGGTACAGCATGAAAAAGCACAGGATACATTTCTGACACAGAAATTCTTTAGCTATAGGGTTCACTCCTTACTGAAAAATTATAGAATCAAAAAGGTTGTAAAAGACCTCTGAGATCATCAAGTGCAACTGTAAGCCAAACATCACTCTTTTCCCAAGTGCCACATCCAAACATGTTTTGAGCACTTTCAAGGATGCTGATTCTACCACTTCCTTGGGCAGCCCATTCCAATGCCCCACCAAGTGGATGATGTTTGTGTCCTATTCAGTTTGTAATATCAAGGAATTTGCAGTGAATAATGGTCAAGTCATTCAGACTTTTGCATGAAATTTGCACTAAACAGCCATTGGGTCTACTTCAGAGCCCTAGGATCAACATGGGAGCGACATGCAGACATTACTTTGGGCAGAGTACAAAAGAAGTATGAGTGTATCAGCCAAGACTGATCCAAACCTAAACTGAGATTCAGGGAGGCTGGTGACTTGCACCACTGAAGATTTAACTGTTCACTATCTTTCCCAAGGGTTCGATGCAAAATCAGATTTCATCCTTTCCCTTTCCCTAGGTTCTTCAGCCTCATATCCCTCCTTAATTATTGTCTCTTTAACTGGAGGGAATAGCATGTTGCCTTCACAAACTCTTACAATCTGGCCTTCAGGCCATGAAAATATCTATATGCACTTAGCACATTTTTAAAGGGTTTGAACATCTGTACTAAGCCAGTGCTTGAAGATAGGAGGGGTGCTAGAATACACTTTTCTTTGGGCAAGCATTTCTATTTGCGTTGACTAATCCTTCATGTTAATGGCATTTATTTCACCTTTGTGGCAGGCAGGCATGTCACAGGTCCTTCTAAGACCTCACCAGGAGTATATCCAGGACTGTAACTGCATCCTCTCTTTCTTTCTGATCAAATTACTAGTGCCAGATCATTCTCCCTCCTGGTCCAGGTCAAACACAGCAGCAACTGAGACAAGGTTTCACGGTCATCATACTGTGATGAACTAGAACTAGAGGCAAACATTGCAAATTCTACTCCTGCTGCTGTCAGTGAGATCCCACTGAGCTCAGTACTCAGCATGACCAGTGAGCCAGGGCTCTCAAACAGTACTCAACACCCACAGAGTATGTGCTACAAGTGCATGGTCCTCAGAGGGAAGAGTCTTACTCTGCAAGACATTAGTGCCAGCTCCTGCTTAGACCAGAACTGGACCCACAGAGATTCAAAGAGTCAAAGTGAGCAGTGCTACAGGACAGAGGTGGCTTTTCCTTCTTGCTCCGATTGAAGTACAGCAGAAGGAAGGGATTATCTGAACAGCAAGTTAAAAGCCACCAGCTGTTTTGCCTGGCATTTTAGGGGTAGGAGCTTAACAGACAACTTCCAAGACACAAACATCCTGGTGACCATTGCAGCAAAGGGGGGAACCCATATGTACTTATACATCTCCTTTCCCAGTCCTCCCTCTTCTAAAGTACCCATTGTTTTACATTGTGTTTGTCTACTGGATTCTGTCATGCTTCTTTTGAAGGGGAAATCTGTTGACATATGTTATGTTACAAGATCCATCATAATTCCATGTAATGTAATCACAAACATGAACCCACCAGGAGGTTTTATTTTACACTCAGCATGCAACATTTTTTTTTAGATGGCCAGAATAGCTATTAAATGGATAGTTTGAGGGAAGCCTCCCCATGAAGGCTGGTATAAGGTCATCTGTATTTAGTAAAATATGTGCTTTGCAAACTATTATGCTGCAGGCTAACATGTGAGGACATCTATTGCAGAATTAAAAAGCAAAATCAAATTTGCAATAATCTGCCAGGGTCTCCAGTGCTGTTGTCTTTTCACAAATCCTAAATGGCTATAGCAAACATTTTGGAAATGAAGGCGAATTGTCTAAAGTTTTGATGCATTTTATATATAAATCATGTTTATTTGTATGTGTACACTGTTTTTTCTGTTGACATCATTTCAGAGTCATTGTCTGTTTCAGCTAAGAAATATTTCTAATATCTTCCTTATTTCCAAGAGCTATATGTTAATGTATGTGTGAACACCAGCTCATCAGACTAGGAAGATGTAAAAGGAAATACTATGTTTATAAAGGTCACAGCTGGCTTTTCTTAGGAATCAAGAGGAGATAAATAAGCAATTTTGATAGAGAGTATGATGGTATCTGAAGACAATTTACCCTAAAAGGACTCACTTTGCAGAAAAGAAGAGCAAAATGTTTACTGCTGTCTCCAAACTCATGTTACTATGAGAAGCTGTTTGTATAGCTTGTCTGGTATTTCTTTCCTACTAGGAATATAGTTTCATTCTCTGAGTTGAACTGCAATTTGAAAAAAAATCATTATTTCTTTAATTTAGTGGCAGGTAGCTTGCCAAGTGCCTTGATGAAGAAGTTGTTGCCCATTACCTACAACCAATATAGCCCCTTTTTGTGTATTACTCAAATGCTTTCAAATAGTTGGACATAAACAGATTTTTTTTCCCTAGCCTTAACATATTATGCTTCTTCATCTCCCAGTCCACAATCCCTGCCCCATACCAGGAATCCATTCAGAACACTTTACCAAGCTCCTTACCACTGAAAGCTCCCAGGCCAGCCCACACACTTACCCCTGCACTCTAGCCAGTCCGAGTCTCAAGTCTCTCATTCACTCTCTTCAAGCATTTAATTCTTCCTCACTCCTCTATGCATCCCTCAGTCCTACAGGCCCTCTTCTTGATACCAATCCAACAGAAGGGAAGCCATCAAGCTGCTTTCTCCCCCAGGATGGACACTGCCTATGTCCCAAGGGCCTCAACAGAGAGGTCTGCAATGGCAATGAACTAGCACAGGACAGGTGATGGCTGGGTGCATAATTAGTCTGTGAAATGAGCTGACATGCTGCTTGTTTTTCTCAAACATGCAGGTATTAATGAGATATATATATATATATATATATATATATATATATATATATATATATTGCAATAAATAGATATAGATGAAATTACAATCAGCTTTATGGTGAATATAAACTCTGAAATACCACATACCCTTGATATAGGAACAGCAATTATATTTTTAACTTTGTTGCAAGTTACCATCTTATCTCATTTGTGTTTACAGCTCTAATGGGAAATCAGTTTCCTGGGCCCAGAATGAGAAAAGCAGCCGAGGAGCACACCTTTGGCAGCGGTTGTCAGTCCACATCAACAAAAAAGAGAACCCCAACCAAACTGCAGTGATCAAGCCTTTTTCTAAAAGCACAGATAGTAGCCGACACAGTAGCAGCGCTACATTTCCCGAGGCGAGTGCCAAAACGCTTTATGACGTTTCGGAAGCCGAAGAGCAATACCCGGCTCAGTATCGACCACAGACACCCTCACCAATCAGCACTTTGAGCCACAGAACTGCCTCTGTCAGCCGAACAGAAGATGAAGCCCCTACCTTCCAGTCAGAACCTCCTCAGCGAAGTAGCTCCTCTCAAGGCTCCCTCATGGAGCAGATCAGTAGTGTTGTTACTCGCTTCACAGCCAATATCAGTGAGCTGAACTCCATGATGCTTTCAACACCTACTCCAGGGACAATGGGGGCTGCTCCTCTCTGCTCTTCATACCTGATTCCACGGGAAATCCAGCTCCCTACAACAATGACCACACTTGCAGAGATCCAACCGCTTCCTGCCATTGAAGTCAATGGCGCTTCACAGTCTGCTAGGAAACCTTCAAATGACAGCATTAAAGAAGGCACTTCAGAGACCCCAACAGCCAAGCAAGACCTGGAGGAGTTGGTGGCTTTAACTCCTCCTTCTCCTTTTAGAGACTCCATCGATTCTGGAAGTGCATCTCCCAGCTCTCCAGCTTCTGAATCAGCTCTCTGTATCCCGTCCTCCCCCAAATACGACACACTCCTCATCAGAGATTATACTCAAAGTTCTTCTTCGCTGTGAATGTAGTTCAAGACGATGTTGGAGCTCAACAACTACAAGCAAGTAGTGAGGGGACAGCCATGTCTTCAAGATCTCCAGTGTTTACGCAGGCAGAGTGAGAGGCATTGGGTCATCTTGTGAGGAATGGAGGGGAAGAAGAGGAATCACTTGAAAGGTGGAAACATCAGATTAATTATGCTGATTTAAAGACAAAATGACTCTTGGCAGATTATCGTGGCCTTAAAAAAACATGGGCTTTTCAGAAACACTGAATCTATTTTTGAGGGCTTATAAGGAGTCTATTAATCCAGTTACATACCAAGTGCTTTGCTTTAGTATTACAATGAACTGTGTGTACAATATAGGGGACGAGGGGAACTAGATTGTAAACAACTGTACAATGGTTTGTTTGTTTACTCCGATCCCTTGCCCAGAAGTGAACCTTGATCTTTTATCAAGAATAGAAGACCAAACGTTGAATGTACATTTTCTAACAGACTCAAATCTGGGACCAACCTGTCAAGCTTTCTTTCTTTTTTTTTTCTATGAAGATCACAAAAAGCAGTAATGTATGTTACTACAAAACATTTTGCTGAAGAATATTGTGTCTGTGATACGTTACACGTGGATAACACTAATCTGAGGCTTTGCAGTGAGTGACTGCAATAAGGAGGGCTTTACAAATGACTTCTCAACCTACACATTTGTTTATGAAATTCTCTTCTATCAGTATCAAATTTCAATTTGTTAACATTGGATTCACCTTCACAGCAACAAAACCCAAGGAAGATTTCCTGACTATTTCACCATGTTGCCAACTAATATTGAAGTAGCAAAAAATATTTTCTGGAGTACTGTTTTGTAATTCCCTTACCAGGGCAAGTTGTTGAGATGAATATTCTCTTTCTAGCAGCACTACCAAGCTATATTATAGCTGTACTCCCTAGTGAAATTAACACATTTTTATGGACATCCTCATGATAATGTTACCAGTTAAAATACTTATTCAGACTCACATCTTTGCTTGTAACAAACAGGTAAACACCCTAAGGATTTTCTCCATTTTTTGAATGACAGAATTATAGGATACCAATGTGGATTATGATGATTATGACAAATGCTAACTGTCAGTGGGAAAGGTTGTCATAATCTTAATTTATATATATATATATATATATATATATATATATATATGGAAAAGCCCTGTATCAAAGTCTGCTTAGAGGTGATTTGCTTAGAGGTGATTAAGCTACTCTTTAATAAGCAACAATTTTACAATTTGTTTCGCTGCTGATGCCTTGCAGCGATGAGCAGTGACAAAAAAAAAACCAAACACATTCAAAGCAATACGTAGTAAAGGCTAAAACAAAGAAGACCTAATTAGATATGAACCAACAGAATCTTTGTTTCTTAGCAACTCACAGAAGAAACAAGGGGATTCCTCAAATTTTTCCTATATCAAGGTAGTACAGTTTAGTGCACTTCATATTGTCACAGCACTTTTTTAACACAGGCAGGGAAGAGTTTTAAAGTTTGAATAGTAGCTAAATAATTTTTGATAGGTGTAGTTACATAGAACTTGTAAGTCAAACCCTAAACGCACACTGTATTTGCTCTCTTCTTCATGACCTAGCTGTCCTCAGGTGCCAAACTTTTATGGGTTTGTTTTATTTTATTGAAGGATAGCATGAAGTGATGAGTAATGTACTTCAATTCAAAGTTGAGTTGATGTAGCCTTATATAGAAGACAGACTCAAGGAAGGGAGCCTTGAAATAAGGCTGCTATATTTTATTTTCAAAACCTTTAGATCTTGTTTCTTAGAAGATAACAAATATTTTGTAATCAAAATTCATACCTCCTTTTTCTTCCCCATGATCAAAATAGCTATTTGATCAAGTAAGTAAAAGATGAAAGCACATTCACATATTTTAGCAAAGAGTATTTTCCATTCCTTTGGGATGCTTGTTCCACTATTATGTGTTGCACCCCAATTTGCTGCTCAACAGCATTTAAAAGTTAAAAGTAATAGATGACTGAATCCAGACCAGCCCCTCACAGAGATACTCTAGTGACTCTAGAGTCAGGCAATGTTATCCAGTTGCAGTCTGGGCATGCTTGTCTTGTCAGGTACAGTCATTTATCAGCTTTGCCTATAGCATGAACAGGCAGGTCACAAAACAGCTCTACTCCAGAAGGCAGATCCCTACACTAAGGCATGACTGAAGGTCCTTGTTGCCCGTATGCCTCCTTGCATGACTGATCAGCACAGGACGCAGTTCGGTGCAGCTACACGGTTCCCAGACTAGAGCTCAGTTTTTCCCTCTTGGTTCACAGTATTAGCATGTCTCATCATTCCCTAGCTGTCCATGTCTTCAGGAAAAAGCATCTTATGTCATAGGTTACAACCCACATTTAAGAGGAAAGCATGTCTAATCAGTCTGTGATACAAACATTTTTATTAGGGGAGTTCAGACCACTTAAATGTTGTTTATGGAAGACATATATGATAATATTTGTCTCCCATCAGTACAATGTTGTTTTAATATAGAGTGTACTGACATAACTAATGTGAATTTTGAAGGGATTCTATTACTACCTGTTCTCTCATACTTCAAACTATTGACCAATATTCTTACAAGAACATCCTCCACCTTGATCTTTCCCTAGCATTTTAGATCCCCTATAGTTTTTTCTTATGGTGGTGGACAATTAATATAATTGTATTCCTGCTAAAATCTGTGGGTTTCACTGCACTGTGAAATAGTCAGCAGTGGAAATAAGGATTATACAGACAAACATAAAAACATTTCCTTAAATACAAAACTAATAAAAAGGAGTGAAAAATAGAAACTGTCAAGCTCAGCATAAATATACCTCTTCTGCTCTCAAACTGCACCATAGCTATTGCTCAGAGCTTCCTGACAATGGTCATGTATACTGTCATGACAATTTGGGTGAGGATGTACTATGTGCCCTGAATGCATGTGTTAAGAGACTAAAACCCTAATGTTGTGCAATCCAAATTTTAAACATTTTTGTTCACTCTCACTTGCAGTGGAGTCATGTATCTTTTACATATCTATCAGCCACAGCAGATATTTTAATGGCACAAGGAACCATGGATGGACCCTGCTGAGGTAGTACCCTCTTGAAGTCAGTCTATTTTTAATAAAAGATGGGCAACATTAGAGGCATTTAAAGAAGGCAGAATCTTATTTAATTGGGCAGACGGGAGTGCATCAATGTCATTTTTTTACTGTGTGTTTGAATTTCAGCAAAGGGAGGCAAGGTTTTGTGAAGAAGGCAAAAATGGTGTAATGCCTGTAGTAATAATCCAGATTATCCCAGTGGGAGATTTGCAACACTGGAAAGTTCTTTGGGAGAAGCCAGTGGGTTTGACATAAGAGAAAAAAAATATTAATGACACACATAATGACTTCATTATTCTGTTTGTATGCTAGTCTCTGTTTAGGACATTAAGATAGAGTGTCAAGGGTTTTCAGATATAAATGCAAAAGTTAAAATCATGAACACTTTTCACTCTAACTAATTAATGTGCAAGTACCAACTGAATGGCTTGAAATTTGCCTTCCAGTATAGTGCTGCTGGCACAAAGGGAATTAAAGGATTTGAAACTACTGTCATTCTTGACCACATGGACCTCAAAAAAACCCTCTGATTTCTTTTGTGCTTGAGGCCAACCCTAAAGAGTGATGGTGTAATCACCTCTGGATCTATGCTTTTGAAATAAAGTGTGTCACTCTGGCAGGCTACTTGGAAAGGCGCCTTTGCAATACTGAAGAACTGTATTTTTAAATTGTCTCTGAAGAATTATTGCATGACTTTGAAGATGTGCTTCCTTGTACTTCTATCTGAACATTTGGTGCCTAGACTCATGCAGATACCTTAGACTAGAGATTTTTAGACCACAGTCCACAAATCACTTGTTCATGATTCATGGAGCCTGGTAGATCACAAGGTGCTGGCTTCTTTCATTGATTTCCAGCTACAAAAGTGAGATATAAACTAAATCCTAATTCAAGAACTGTTAAAAGTCCTAAAAGAAAAAAAAAAAAAAAAAAAAGTTAGTTTGCTTGGATGTTTGTTCAGTTGCTATGTTTATAAAAGGAAAACTTTTGTGAAAAACTGAGAGAATGAGCTATCAAAAGAGAGTAAACAGGAAGCCCAATCCATGACTCTCACTCTGGATGATAGAGGAGTTCCCTTGCAAATATTTTCTTTAATGTGCAAGACCAAACTGAAAGACAGCATAGATGTGGGTGTAAGTTCTGTAAAGGAAAGTGTGCAACCTTGTTATTCTGCTTAATACATCATTTATGAGGTGAGAGGATAAAAGATGACAGCAACAGACAGCATAAAAAAGTCAGTTCCTTAGGGAAATCAGAGCACTATGCTCAGGACTCACAGTGTGACCATGATTTTTTTATTGTATTGGGGACCAGTGTTAGGTCTGGTTTGGCTGACCCCCCAAAAGAAAGACTTTGGAGCCTAAGATTAGGATTTCAGTAGAATTTAATACCTACATTTCAAACTCAATTTTAAAAAAGCTATTAAAATGCCACCTTCCTCCAGCATCTAACATAGTGTGTCTTTGTATGCTCAGAACTAACCTGATCATCACACATCTAAGGATCTTTGTACCTAACTCATATTAAAACCCATCAAGGATGCAGAAAACACAAGAGAGGACACAGAATGTACCAGTTTCCTGGCTGGGGAGTGCTCCAATAACTCAGTGTTGAGATAACCTTTGTTCATTTCCCCAGGGAATCTTCACAAGACAGGGACAAATTCAAGAGTATTGCAGTGGAAAAGGAACAATGCAACCTGATAAGACATACATTGAATAAAATTAGAGATGATATATGACAATTTAATATAAAATACTTTAAAAATTTCTGGTGCAGAGACGAGGTATTTTAGCTCCAAAGAAGTGGAGGCAACCTTTTGTCTGTGATGCGTATTGGCTAAAAAAAAGTTAAATGCTTCCCTGAAAATGTTTTTGTGACAGGAGGAAGGATGTACCTTTTGATAACTTTTCATCTGCAGAAATCTTGTCTTCCATTCAGAGTTCTCAACCCCAGCGTAGAAAAGAGAGATTGAGTCTTCTTGGATAGATGAAGGAATTAAACTTGAGTTCCTACTTCTCTGAGACTGCAATAAAAGGGACTCATTTAATTTTTCTCCAGACACCTTTTACAAAGGTGACCTGGCCCATCTTTGAAACAAAATGTATAGATGTCTCCAGAAATTGATCCCAGTGGAAAATTAACTTTTTCTGCACATTTCATTTCCATACTGGCTCAAATAAAGTATTCCTGGACACCTCTTTCCTTGTTGTGCTGCTTCCTTGGGCACTAACTCTTCTCACAAACTCCACAGAAAGGGTAGATATTTAAGAAAAGGTCCTGACCTCCACACTAGAGCAAAAAAACTATATATTACACTGAATAATTTTAAGTGCTGAAGTTCTTTGCTGGCACTGGCCCTTAATCTATTTGGGTCAATGGAATCATTCCAGATTAATATAGATATAAAAATAATCAAAGTCGAACAGTGCTCACTGAAGTCTAGATTTTGACTATTTGTTCTGCAGAAAATGATAATGACAGGATATTCTTCCCACTCTCTTTTGAATCCAACAACAGATGGATTATTTGAGGTTCATTTTTGAAGCTAGGCTTGGTGAATAGGTCCTTCCTACCATTCATCTTTATTAGTCCTATGCTATCTGGTATCCCAATGGGAAAGTTGGCTTCTAACTAAATATGTTAAGGGATGTGAGTGGACATGTCCAAAAATACCCAAGAGGTCACAGTTTTCTGGCAGTCTAATGACTCTCCAAAAATGAAGTCAATACTCTCCATGAACAAGAAAATCACTAATCTGCTACCCATTTCAGTGTGCACTTAACTTACTAAATACTAAAAGTTGAATTACCTGAATTCTTTTTTTTTTTTTTTTTTTTTTTTTTGCGGTGGTTTATTATTTTACCCCCAGTTCAAAACTCTCCAATTGCCACCCACAATTTTGTATTGTGAAAAGGAAAAGATACAGGTCAGTGAAGCATAAAGGTAAGTAAAAAATTTAGCTGGGTGATGAATTGCTGTATATGGCTGGTTTTGTGTCACCTGAGCAATGGCAGTATTAACAAACAATAAACATTAAGTCACTCCGATCTGCCAAATGGGAATAAATATACTATGTATATTACATGTACTAATAGGATTATATGGCAGCTGCTGGTGGTATTTGTAATTAGAAATCTATATAGAATATAGATGTTTTAGAGAGATGGTGCCAATTCCAAAAGATTTATGTGGGCTACAAGTGCTTGTAATTATTTTTTTTTAATTTGCTAATAACTTATGAAGAACTGGTTTCAAACATTCTGTGACTGTTTGTTCTTTTTTATGTTGTTGCTGCTTATACTATTAAAACATAGAGAATGTAAAGTTATTATTTTGATGTGAACTGAAAAAGATTTTTCATAAAATTTACCATTTTTATCAGCTTTGGTTTGCTTTCTACCTGTACAAATGTAATTTATTTTAGCATTGAAGAATACACTTGCTTGTTTCTCAATTGTCTACATCATGTTATAGTTGGTGTTTATGTAGTCAGGTACTTTTTGAACAGTATTAAAAAGAATCTGTGATATGACTGAAAACTGGAATTTTTTTTCTCCAAAACACTTACAGCTCTGCTTTCAGTGCATTTTTCTACAAACCAGGTATGCCTATGCACAAACCCTTGAATTATAACATTTCTCTCTTACTCCTCCCTCTCTGTTGCTTTAAAGGATTAATTTAACATTCATCATATCATAGTTCAATAACATTCTAGTAGAGTTAGATCTTTGTTTTTTGAAGCACTTGCAATCTCATTGATAAGGCATATATAGATTTGAGAGAAAGCATTAAAATAATCTTGTCTTGTGCAACAGAAAACAAAGCTGTTTAACTTGGAATCATATACCAAAATTTTATTTTTATAGATGTCCTAAGGAACTACTTTACTCCTATAATTATGCTGCATGAAGTGAAACAGAGAGTATGAATTGCAGCACTCAGATAAAAGCCAATCATTCACATTATTTCCTAAAGACATCTCTAGAGATACTGCTGAATCAATTTGCTGTTGACAAATTATGGTGAGTAATTAATAACACAATGCCCAACTCCAGCTAAAAAACAATGTGGATTCATATCATGTCTTTGTACCACCTAAAACTCTACATCCCAAAGTTAATTCTTTCAGTATAGAAATCCACAGCAACTAATTCAGTGAAATATCAGTATATTTGTACCAAAAGTAGCATTGCAACTATTGCAATTTGAAGAGAAAGACTTTGAAAACCATATGCAACATCTTGTTTCATTGCAGAATATTTTTAAAGCGGTGTCTGGAACAATCAAGTTTGTTTGCACTTTTGTTTGCAAGAACAGTTAATTTATGCCATGAACCGTGAACACCATGTTTCTTCTGAGTTTCTGTTATCACTACAGAATGATGACATTTAGAAACTAATAAACTAATAAATCCCATTCCAAATTAAATCACAAATCAATGTTTACACTGATTAAAAAGAGAGGGGCACTATTCTATATAATACACCTTTAGAAATATCAGGGCAATTAGTAATGAGAAAGCAAAAGTTCAATTTCTTAAAAAGTTTGGAGTCTAGTTTCTCTGTCTGTCTGGAGCTTTATCTTTCTTTCATGTTTGGTCCATAATTCCTATTTGATACCAGAGAAGCCTTACTGCCAGTAGTGTCCTCCTCAGCTAAACTAATACATGGACTGGGTACTCCTCTCCTCATGTCCTCAGTCTGCTCACAAAACATTGGAAAAATGGGTGGAATTTTAAGAACTGCAATCTCCCTTTGTGTTTGTTCAGAGACTATTTATTAAATTTATTTTCCTATTGTAGGAGTTTAAGACCAAATCACAGTGGAGTGCATGAAAAATTTATTACTGCAAAGGAAATGGATGAGCTTTCTTTTACATATACAGAGACATTTGTGGTGTATTCACATTTTTTTTCAGGGCAGTAGTTTCAAATCACCATCTACTTTTATTTGTTTGCTTGTTTGTAAATGAAGTCTTAAAATTTAGCCAATTTTTAGACTAAAACAAAGCAATCAGCATGCTCACTATGATTTTGTTTAAAAGGGATTCAAAACTTACCTCCACATAACTTACTATATTTAACTTCTTCCCAAAGATTAGCAAATTAAAACCTTCACTGTTAAGGGTTTCCTGGGCTTTCTCACATTTGTTGTGAACATATGTGTCATAGAATCACATGATCTTTTTATTTTGGGAAAGACCTCTAGGATCATCGAGTCCAAATGTTAACTCAAGTCCACCAGTAAATCTTGTCCCCTTGTTCACATCCATGTGTATTTTTTAACATTTCCAGGGATGATGTTTCTACCACATCCTGAGCAGCCTGTTCTAATGCTTGAAATATGTTCACATGTATATGAGATGAGATTTGTGCTTATTTGGTGAGGTGAAGAGTTCACTCAAGTGCTTGTCACAAGATTGGTGTGGTGTGCTCCACATACACTGTGGGCTGGTCCTTGGCCCTCATGAGAGTAATTCCCAGAATCTGGTTCTCCTCTACTGATCACCTTCTGTCCAAGACACTCCTGAGGTGCCCCAGAGCTTTCATTATAATACTCTTAAATGTGTGTGTAAGCACAAATGATGTCACTTGAATCTCAGCTTAAAAGCCACTTTAGACTGATATTTAACTAACCATGTAGACACATCACTGATGAACCCAGAGAGAAAGATGCCAAGTGGATATGGAACCCTAAAAATCTCAGTCTAAAAACCCCTTCCAAGCAGAAGATGAGCACTAATGGGGGCCCTGAATTTTAGGTGTCAATATCAAGCTTACAAAAGAAATGTCAGTGAGGTAAAATACGAAAATGAAATGTCCTGTAATCTATGTAGAAGGCATAAAAGCAGCATATAGAATATTGAGATAAACTGAGGAGAAAAAATAAGGAAAAGTACACCAAAACTAAAAATTCAAGACTGTATTAGAAGTGAGATATTACTGGAGGAATAATCATGAAACTGTAAATTTAGGAAGAAATTAAAAGGCCAACAAAATTCTGGATCCCCACCTGAAAGCAGACCTGTCAAATGTGCTAAATATCACACTAGCATAAAGCAGGCATTATGGATGGGAAGCAGTCAAGAGCAGGAAAGAAAAATGTAAAGTTATTGAGGTCACAGGATTTTCATGCTGGTGTCATACGGAAATCCTATCACAGTTATAAATGGTGTGAAATTACATTATTTCCTGAGAGATTATTTTGTCCCATTTCATCTTCTGAGTCTTTGTTATTTGATGACCAAAAGATGCTGAACAGTTAGATATTTGGTAAAAAAACAAAGACTTGCCATGCTCTTTGGCAAGACAAGGCTGGCCAGCACTGCCCATATATGACTACCAAATATCAGAGAGTGTTTATCCAAACAGGCTTCACTAGGCCTCATCTTAAAGCAATATAACAGAGTGCCTTGGCTTGTGCCACTTACAGTTTAGCCCAGCTGCCTTGCAAATAGCCCTGGGAGGCTTGGTCCATTAGGTAACAGAATACCAGGCTTCTTGATTGCACTGCTGCTCCAAAGCAAACTGCACCTGCTCAGGCTAGGGAAAAGCACAATAGCCCATATAACACAACTTTCATGTCTCCAGTGAATTAAAGCTCCCAACCACAAATGAAAATCCACAATTGAACACAGCTACAGAAATCTCACATCTGATGCAAATACCCACAGAAATAAAGGGGAGCTCACTGGGCAATGACAGCTTGAACTCAGACCAAGAGGTGCACAATTCTTGTACTGTACAGCAGAACTCTGCCTGTAGTTTTGTTAGAAGAGTCTGAATGCCAAAGGAAAGGAAAGAAATATAAAATTGCATAGAAAAGTCCAGCACTGCTAGTAAAGATTACATGAAAATATAGGAATTACCTTTGCCTCTATTATACCTCAGTTATCTGATGACAGACCATGGAACAGTGAGTTTTTAATTTCTACATCATCCTTTCAGTACCCCAACCATATAACAAATACATAACGCAGGAACTGACAGGGATTGTCCGATCATCTCACACTGCAACGATAGCAGATGTCTTCCAAATAGACTGGGAAATAAAAGCAATGCATCAACAATGGCCCAGAGAGAACATGAAACCATCTGAAGGAAGGAAAACATGTTGTACCAAACAAGGTTAAAAAGAGACTCAGATTACAGCAATATTGATCCTGAATAATCTCACTGAAAATACTGGTATTGAGTGTGAATGAAGCTTATGAGTGTGTAGCAGATCAGGGTCTGAGGCTGTGCTCAGGATAGCTGGCAGTGTAATACTTCATGAATTTGTTTTTTCTTAGTATGTTTCCATAGCACAATTTTTCCAAATAATTTGCATTTCTTGTTTACTAGAATTCTTTTTCCCAGCTTCTACATTTGATTATTTTCACTGTTTTCTTAGTTTTAATTTCCTCAAAAAAAATTCTACAAAAATCAGGGTACCTGAATTTCACTGAAAATCCCATTAAACCTTCTACTTGCATTATTTTAATCAATTCTTGGTAATTTTGTATTAGTCCTGCCAATTCTGGTTATATTTTACTTAAGCAAAACCACCAAAAAACAATTCCCAGTTCTAATTAAGCAAATGGGAATTCAGCCACAGAACTACTTAACCAGTGAGTAAGCCTGGAGTTCATTGTTAAGCCCTCTGTGCTGGAGCTGGTAACAGCCCATGTGCATCAGCAGGGGCACTGTTCCTGGCCAATAACTGCTGAAGGGGGTAATTTTCTGAAGATTGCATGTTCACAAAAATACAGCTCCCGACTAGAGCTGGACTTCCTCCTGACTAATACACTGTTTTATTCTGCATCAATTGCCTTTAATACTGTTTTCTGGGAGAATAAGTTCACTAAGATAGTGAAAGATTACATCACGCCAGTCAATCTCAAGAAATGTTCCCATTAATCTTAAATTTACTGGAATAGAATAGATATAAAGCCATGCTCTCTGTTTCAGGACTTACATTTGAAACATGAATAGAATCAGGATAGAACACTAAGTGTTCAACAAAACTGGATCAAAAATAAATGATCACTGTCTTGTCAAAATCTTTCTCAATTAAACAAATTTAATGTCTCATTTCTTCTGTCCTGTGGGAAAGAGGGAAAGAGCTCCAATGCAGTATTCAAACCCATCCCCAAGGATTTTTTTGCTGCAGCTGCTGGGACATAAATCTGCAGTCACCAGTACAACAGTTACATTTCATTCTCCTCATGGATGACAGTGTTTTCATTGCAGCTTTCAGGTTGTGGGAGGGTTAAAAACATGTCATTAATTCCTAATACCCCTGGCTCACTCATAAACACATACTTCTCTATATTGTATATGCTTTTTACACTGGGGGTTTTGGCATACAGATGGTCAAGATGGAATTTGATGCAGCCTTCAGCAAATAACCAGGGCTGGTCTTCCTTACATCACTTTGTGTTTTCCAATGTTGCCATTGATGCAAACACTAGAATTTATTTCTTTAATTTATAATTGTTTTTTTATACTAGACAGCAGTGAAAATATTCTATTTCTTCACTGCCTTTTGTTTTCCTGCCT